TAACAGACGGGCTTGCTATCAACTCACAAGCAAGTGATAGTCGTTTCTTTTCACCACCACTAATCCCACGAACTTTGGCATCACCAACAATAGAATCAGCACAATTGATCTATTGTGGGAATATAAAATACCCAAAGAAAAAAATAAATAGTTAGTGAAATTTGTATCTGCAATCTATGTAAGGTAGAATCTATTAAAAAAAATATGTGTATGCATGTATATTTGTCATATGAAAGAGAATTTTATATACGTGTGAATGAGGCCTAGCGGTTAAACAAGATGGTTTTTCTCAAACTTCATGAGTTTTTTGAGTCACGTACTTTAAGATTTCTCTCTCACAATTCTCAAAAAATTATAAAAGCATACACTCAACACAAGCATGTTACAAGCATATTGTAGCTCAAGGTGAAATTAAAAACTTTAATTTAAGGCCTATTTGGTTTGTTGAAAAAGAAATACAATGTAAGAAAAAAAAAGCAATGTATTGTATTTGGAATACTTTGTAGTTGTTTTGTTTAGTGTAAAATAAAAAGAGGACTTTACATTTCCTTTTTGAAAAGAAAAATTAAAATCACGTAAAATGTGTGTGTTAGTGTCAAGAGTCAATGGTGGCAAGTGGCCCGTAGTGGGGACAGGCCGGGATGGGTTAGGGAAAGCAGTGGGGGGAGGGAGGCAATGGCTGGAGGCGTGGCGGCAGCAGAGAGTGGGAGACAAGCAGCGAATCCATAGTTCAATTTTAATGTATTTGGAATTCGCCCAAATACTAGATTTCAAATTCATTGAAATTAGACTACATAAAGAATTTCAAATGCATTGCAACCTTACATTGCATTTGAAATTCTTCAACCAAATGTTGGATTTCCCAAACCCCTACAAAAGGTAAGCAATGCACTTCTTTTGCTGCCAAACAAACAGCCCCTTAGTTTCCAATACACATGCACGGGAAGTGATCCACCACCTTAGAGTTCATCTTAAAAGAGTCCCAATATTTTATTCTAGTTGTTGCTATTTGAGTTATGCTGGATTAAAGAAATAAAAGATTACATTAAACATGATCCAATTTCACGCAAAAAGAACAAACTTACCAGGCCTAGCCTGAACAAGAGATCATCCACATACTTATTCCTCTTCTCAACTGACGCAATCTCTGGCAGCTGGAGCTCCGCAGCTATAGACAGTATTTCTCTCGGTGTCAGCTGTGAGAAAAAAATATCCTCCTGTCTCACATAAGCAATCCTGCAACACAATTTCCTCCATTAATACCAGAAAAAGTAACCAAAACCCATCAGCCGCAACCGGCCAGCGCAAGAAAACTTACTTGTAACCCCCACTCAATCTAGACTTGCCATTAATATCCAAATGGCCCGAAAGATGTAATCTCGGTGACGCTGCGAGCTGCCCCGCAAGCACATTGAGCAAAGTAGTCTTTCCAGAACCAGATGGTCCCATAACAGCAAGCAATCTCCCAGATTTTGCCTCCCCGCTTACATTGGTCAGCAAGAACCTTATCTGAAAACGCATAAACCAACTTCTAATTTATGGATAAGTGTGCAACTTAGCATCCAAGAATTGAGAGAATGCCAACAGTGAGAAATCGAGATAACGGTACACGTTATTAGATCAATGCTTTGTCGAGCTAGCATACGCGTCTAGCTTGTAAGGCGACGCAGAGTGCAGAGCTTGGCAAAGAGTTTGGATCAAAAGGAGAAGATACGAAGGCGGGGGTAGCTCACTGTCTTCCCGCGCTTATCGGAGAAGGAGCAAGTGATGCCGCTCCACCGGATTGTCACCGGTACGATCTTGCCGGACTCTGCCGGGGCCTCCTCGTCACCGGCGTCTTCCTCCGGTAACAGGGCAGGCCCGGGGACGGTAATTGGCCCGGAAGAAGAAAGCGGCCGCCGCCGCTGCCAGAATCCTGCCGAGGATCCTTCCGTCGATGCTCAACATCTCTCTCTTTCTCGCGTCCGGAGTGACGGACTTTTAGTGGAGAGGGGATTGAGCAATCTAATCTAATCTACTGATAGTAAGTTCATGTTGGGTAACTATATAATTCGGTGGTCCCATTTAAATTTTTTTAAAAAAGATTAAAATATATTCTGACCGTAGTTCGCCGTGATCTACGGTCATGATCGAACAACAAATGCAGAGATACATGTGGTGCCCGTACACAATAATTTTTCCCAAACAACGAGAAATTATTTTGTCCGACCACCCCACCGCACACATTCTATACATATGAGAGCATGTAGCGAATGAAAAGGGTGTGAGCCTTAGTAATGATAAATAAGTAAAATAATAAATTTAAAATGTGATCCGGTCCGAACCTCGCCCAATAATCGAAAAAACGTATATTTGGATCTATCGAATCCCGCTAAATCTAGAATTTCGACATTTTCGATTCTGCCAAATAGAAAAAAAGAATATTGGCATTTTTTCCGGTTTATAGATGTAGATTTTTTTATTTTTTCGTCCATTTTCGTATTCAACAGCTAGGGCAGGTTCTGTTAAACAGATTTCTCTGTCGACCAAGAAATGTTGATGGAATCTCAAAACGATTGCGAGAATGATGTCAATCAACTTGGATTATTAACTGCGGCCGGAAGCATTCCGCAGGTAATATAATTTCTTTGTTCAGGGTGGTGCTATTAATGGCTTCCAAATGATAGTATTGTGGAGCTCGGATGGTGTGATTACTATATTATTTGATTGCTAAGTTATTTTGTAGGTATTATCATTGTGTTTAAGTTATAGTAATGGTATTATCCTTCCGGTATTATTGTGGTTGCTATTGTCCATTTTTTTTGCTTACAAGGGTAGTTGGGTCTTATTTAGGTTTTATCATGAGTTTATTTGGGTTTTATTATGGTTGTATTATGGTAGTATTTATGCATTTTAGGCTTTCAAGAGTGTTTGTGTTATTATGGTATTATTACTGTAGTATTATGGTTGTATTACGTATCATGGTGTTATTTATTATTGTATCTAATTAGTGTTTTTAACAGAGTGTTATGTTCGGTGTAAGTTGTGTTATTTTGGTGTTATCATGGTTTTATTATGCTAGTATTTTTTGCATTTTTGGCTTTGAAGTATACTTTTGTGTTATTATGGTATTATTTATGTGGTATTATGATTGTATTATGTATTATGTTGTTATTGATTTATCGTTTCATACCAGCATGATTGTATTTATTAATTGGTTTCGTTGAAGCGTTATTTTGTCATTCTAATAGTGGCATTATTGAAAGTTGCAACTCCCCGAGCCTTTAACTGTGTGTATTGATCTAATTGCGGATAGTTTGTTTCGTGTGGTGGTTCATAATGAGAAGGAAGCCTATGAAAATTATTGT